GAATTCTTACACTTGAATGGATACGTTCATTAGTATGTGTCATTGGTATTCCAGTTGAAGCACCAGTATCTGGATCTAAACGATGGTAAAGACCAGGAGTTCTAGTCTCTTTACCTGCGAGGGTCCACTAGTAAATGTTAGTTTACCTAATCTCCGATGAAAAGCTAAATGATGTCAGAACTTGATTAGTAACATGTACTTACAATTCCAGTATCTGAGTTATAAATCTTCCCAAGAGCCCATGGACGAACTGGATGATGTTTCTCATAAACGGCTGGCGTTGCCCATTCGTTAATTGGCTTCGAAAACCTAAAGATAGATGTGGAAGGAGGTGGTAAAGTTTCGTAATAGTGGACACTCTTTTGAAATATTATGTCAATGGCATCTTCGTGAAAGGAAACCCCAATGGAAGCAAGCTGATCCATCATCCAGGCCAAAGTGATATTTGCAATTTCCTGATCATCGTAACCCCCTCCGACATTGGCATGACTTCCTGGGAACCAGACTTGTCGCAAGTCAGTGGATTCATCTTCGAAATCTCTTATCTCCCAAACAGCGGGACTAAAAGGTCTTCGATGTTCGTCGAGTGCCAAAGCTTGGAAAGCATGTCTAATGTAGCCGGAAAGATTCGTATCGTGAAACTTGTACTCCTTAGTAGAGTGTGGAAGTCCAAGTTTTGCAAGGAGAGCGATGTTTGGAATACCCAAAGATCCTACAGTATCCCACACAGCAACCGCATGAACTCTGATTCTAGATCCATTCGGATCATAAATCCGGGTTAAATTTTGTTCTACCAATCTCTTCTTGTATTCATCACCATCCTTTGGTTTGTTTGGAAAAGGGATATCCGGAAAGATATCTTTGTAATTGGCATTTCTGAAGTTTTCCTGGTCTTTGAATATAGCATAGAAGTTTGACATGCCATAACGAGTGAGCAGTCCGATGTCAGAGATCATTCCTGCAACACTTCTGGCAGTGAAGGCTCCACGAGAGAATCCGACAAGAATTATTTCATCCCCGGGGGTATAATTGGCGGCAATGAAACTATAAACTTCACGAATGTTCTTGTAGTATGTCAGCATGCAGTTTAACATCATGTAGAATAATTCTTACCTCAGAAATACCCGTGCCAAGCATACCTCCACTGAGGGTATCCAACATACTACTACCCGTGCCAACACCGGAATGATAGTAAATGATCTGATGAGTTCCATCTGGACCATATCTTCTCAGGCATCTTGATAGGCGGGTCACGTTACTTGGAGTCTATGAAGGGGTAAAATTAGTGGATGAGCTTTGCTTGATTGGCTAGAAAGTGGAGATGGCGGTGAAGGGGGCATGATACGATAACGTTCAAACCAAATAACGCCAACCTCAAATTTGATGAAGAAGGGATGTATCTTGTATAATGAGAGTAAAGACGTGTGTAACTCACCTGTAATGTACCGGTTGGTTTGTAGGGAATCAGTGTCGGCTTAGTGAATCCATCATCACTGATATTGATAGTCAGAGATTTTGATCATATGACTTGAATGAAGGGAAATTATAACTTACCTATCCATCCATGTTCCATCACAACATAGAACTATACGTTTAGGATGAATATGCTTTTGACCTTCAAGATCGTCCATGTTGTTTCGTGTAACGTGATAACGGCGACGATACTGTGATGTTCTCGGTAGGACTGAAGGACCGTTTAGTGATATGAAACCAGGAGGACGTGTGATAGAAAAGATTGAATTCATACCGATATTCTTCAAAGGGTGTATATATATATATATATATATATATCAATAGTAGAGAATGGGTATCAATGATATCAAGGAATGGGTGATCTGATGCTCTTTCCCAAATTGAATCTCAGATGCGTAATGAAGGATCACTTCGTACCAAACTCTTGAGTTCCTAGAAACTAGATGTGAGGAGTGAAAAACAAATAATTTATACAAAAGTAGAAGGAGCAAGCCTCTTTTCTTTTCTTTCCCCTCGCCCGTGTATGTATTGATTTCTCGATCAGTATTCGCTTGATGCAACAGAATGTATCACAACTTATTTTCAGCCATCTCTCAAGAACGTTGCAGTGACACTCATCACAAATATGGCTCTCTTTTCAGCACCGGTTTGCCGTTATTCTCAAGCCTCCGACATCATTTTGATGAAGGGTGTAGCTTGTAATAGATGGTGTATTTGAGAAACACAATTTTTGCTGTTCTGGATAAATGTCAGGTTGATCAAGGTGGTGTTGAGGTTGATTACCTAGTAGGTGGTTGATCAAATTTCTTATGTGCTGGTCTCTTTCTTCCGCCTCTTTCTATGGATGAAATAACAGCTGCCAATCTCACCGTGCCAGCCCAGCCAGCCTTACAAATGATTTCATTCAAGGATTAATGGAGAATTTGGAGGAATTTGGAGGAATTTGATTCGTCAAGCCAGCTTAATGAATTTTGCCATGTCAGAGGGCATTTCATTGGATGAATGGTATAAAACGACTCCATTTTGTATGTTGTGGACCCGAGGTGGCTTCACATGAACAGTGCGTTGAGACTCTTTTCTTCACCGTTGTGCCTTGATATGATCAAGAGATATTCTTCAACCACTTGGCGTTGATGCGATAAATATCATTAGGTAGATGTTTTGACTCGAGATGCATTTTTCGTAGGAGAAAGTTCTATCGAGAGAAAATAGTCACTGGTGTGCTCGAGGTGTGTGTGTGTACTTCATATGTATGTGTATGTATGTGTATGTATGTGCATGTGGTAAGATTATGGTATGATGTGGATTGCTTCGTACTAGTCATCATTAGTTCCCGTTTGTAACTTCTGCAGATTATCTGTACAAGTATCTCTAGTGGATGCATCAATGTTAATCATTTCTCAGCTCCTTACCTCGAATTCTGGATATATCGGAAATGATTTACGGACTCGACCCAAGGGATCGATCAAATCTTTGTCACTTTATGAAGAATATGTTACCACACCCTTTCAAGTGGTTGGAGAAATGTGAGTTTCGTGGCACAAAAATCTCTCATGTCTCATCTCACTGCAAGTCACCAGATAAAGTGATGAAGGCGGGGTTCATGTCCTTAGCCGTGCCGCTTTCTTGGAGTTTGACAGAACTCTGGTGTTACAATTTGATAAGACAAGCGATCGTGGATACATATATCATCATGCACAATCAATATGTCTGTCAAGCAGACGACAGATCCGTTGACTCTGGTTAATAATTTCTACATTCGCAATGGACTTGATCAGGGAGACCAACTTACTTGCTATGAATTCGTTAAGAATGCTTTTCCAGGGAAGAGCATCGACGAACCTGCATGTCAAGGATATTGCTCGCTGACTTTTCTGGTGGGAGACGACATTGTTATTCAATTTCGACCTGGTAAATATCGACTGAATCTCATGACAACTCATGCTGCACGGGAGATATACGGGATACTTTGCCCTCGAATCACTTATGTTACCAGTCTCCCGAAATCCGGATTGTTAGTATATTCGATGAACCGATTACATGGTGTCTCATTTAAAGATTTCCGGGCAAGCAACACATCCCTAGCTACCAATACCGAAACTCGAGCAATTTTATGTAAAGATTTCGCTGCATTTCTAGCAGTAGGATGGCATCGAAAAGATTGTGTATCTCTTCCGCGTGGTATTGTAGGATCATCATTGCTATCTCGTCTTGAATTACTATGCAAGGATCTGCCAATCCGATTCCAACTATTAGCTAAAAGAATTCGCAAAGATATGCGATTCATTGAATCTATGCCATGGGTACTAACTCACGGCGACATAATTCCAAGCAATATCATGATCAACCCCCTTACGCGCCACCTTACCGGACTTGTTGATTGGGTAGAAGCCGAACCTCTACCATTTGGTACCTGTTTCTATGGACTCGAAGAAATTCTCGGTGAAATTACGCCCATCGGTTTTCATTACCATGCCGATGCGACGTTTCTGCGAAAGGTTTTCTGGGCAGAAATCGTCAATCTGATTCCCGATCTAAAACAAGATGAGTTGATGAGGACAGTTAGACTTGCGAGGGATTTGGGAGTATTGCTTTGGCACGGTATTGCATGGGACGACGGTGCCATTAATCGAGTTGTAATGGAGGAGAGAGACGAGGATGCAGATGAGATAAGGATATTAGATGCTTTCTTGGATACTGATGTTACAGACCAGATTACTTCTGAACCAGAGCATTCGCCAAAGCTTTAAAGAGCGCCATATATTCAACTAGGGGCATGGAAAGACCGACGTGAACTCCGATGACCAATTTACATAGCGATTTACAGCTTCCATCCATACGATACGCTGCAAGAACACGACCTACCTCGTTGAGAGCAAGCTGATAGCTATATCTCATGCCATCAACCGTTTCTGTACTCCGAGCCAATTGAGAGTGTCAAGCAAGAATTATCTATTTTAACAATATTCCATTCTTGACAACACCGACATCTTTCATCCCTTCGCCCTAAAGAGAGCTACCAGCAACTTGTCCTCCTTTCACCCCCTTATCTTTTCCGACGCACAATATCGATTTGTTGCGAATCTGCTTTCACTATTTGAAGACGTCAAGTTTCTTTTAACATTTTTACACATTGGAACATCGGGCCTCACTATCTTACATATGTAGATCTATACATACACATGTTTCACTTTTTCTATTACTTTTTGATACGGAGTCACGTCTTTCTTTATTTCTTTATAGCGGAGACTTTTCTTTAGTATAATTTTCATGAATCGGATATCCATTTTGAGCAAGACATGACAGTTGGTAGCCTTTTTATGTCGGGTTTTATTTGCTACCTGGGTATTACTACTCGTAATTTATTTCTTTATCCAAATTTATATTCCACTTGAAATGAAATGCCTACTTTTCATTCAAACGCTATATACATATAGATATACTACATCTACCTAACACTTCAAGGTGTGTCCCAGTGCTCTAAATGCGAGTCATAAATCGCAAACCTCAAATCCGAAGCTCTCAACCTAAAGTTTCGCTTTCTCCACATCCTCACCAATTGCACCACCTCTACTTAACATTTCCCCTCCATCAATCACCAAGTTAGCTCCATTAATATGACTCCCTGCCCTACTAGCCAAGAAAACCACCGCGCCAGCAATATCCTCCGGTTTCCCTAATCTTCCATCCGGCACCGATTTGGCCAGCTTCGCAACTCCTCCTTTTGATTCCATAAGCGCATTAGCCATTTTCGACGGAAAGAATCCTGGAGAAATGGAATTGCAAAGAATATGACGGGGACCGAGTTCGACGGCGAGGTTTTTGGTGAGATGAATGGCCGCGGCTTTGGATGCAGAATAGCCGATTGCGGAGCTAGGTCCCGGGGGAGGGGCGATGAGACCGGCGACGGAAGCGGTTACTATTACACGGGAGGGCTCTGAGGCATTTGCGCGCGCTTGAAGGAGAGGTGTGAATCTAGGGGTTTGTTAGCGGATTGATTGAATTTGTATTGGGGGGGAGAAAGAAGGGAAGATGGGGTACGTACAGTCTCACCGTTCCAAAAACACTCTTGACGTTCAAATTCATCACTTTCGCAAACGCATCATCGGGATGAGTATCGAATTTTTCTCCCCACGTGGCTCCCGCATTTGCGAATAGGATATCGATATGATCTGTGGTTTTGGATACTTCGGATACCAGATGCTGGATACCTTCAATAGTTGATATGTCTGCGGGAACGGAAATGGCTTTTGCACCCGGAGAGAGATTGGGAAGGGAATTGAGAGTTGAGACAGCGGCTTCGCAGGCGGAAGCTTTACGGGATGTGATGTAGACGAGGGAGCAGCCGGCTTGCAGGAAACTAAGAGCGGAGCGAGAGTTAGTGGCTGGAAGGGGGTGGAATAATTGATAAATGACGAGTGTCAATGAATTTCCGCCCGGATTGAAATAGTTTCTTCACAGTTAATGAAACGAGGTTACTCACGCAGAAGCAGCATGTAATCCCAATCCTCTCGATCCCCCAGTAACCACCGCGATCTTCCCCTTTAGAGAAAAAAGAGACCCAAAGTCATGGAGTTGCGTGTCGTAACTAGACATCTTTTCTTTTGCGTGTTCCAACAATCTTCGCTCTATTACTCAAATAATCGCATACACTATACTCTACAACCAAAAATGCGAAAGTATATCTCAAGAGCAATATGAATCGACGTGATGCAATGAATGATATCCGATAAATCAGTCCAGACCAACATACATATTGTACTCTCGGATAAGCATAAGCGGAGAACCCGGGGAACCGAGGTTGCGCTAGTGAAGCGATAAGAAGCGATAAGACATTTCGATTTTTGATAGTCTCAGCAGCCAGCTAAGCTATTTCCCACGGGATATCTATATCAACTTTACAGCAATTTTCTGATTTCTCTTGCGGGATAGTTCCGCGATTGAAAATTGAAGCGTCATGAACTTTCACAAGCTTAGAAGTTGTTATCATGAGGAACGTGTTAGTGACGCTGGTGTTGGGGTTTTGACAGCTACGGTTATCGCGATATAAGGATTCTTCTACGAATGTGATATTGGGTTTTGCTGGGGATAGTGATGTTGGGCAAGGGAAGCAAATTGATCTGCAGATGTGCGTGAGGCGAAAGTATTCGAGTCCCTGTTTTATCTCCATACTTGTTGCGACTCTGTTTTGTCTCCAGCAGCACGAAAAAGCTGGGGTATCGAAGATATATACCGGCACTGTTTTCAATATTCGATGCCATATCGGATGATTGTTATTTTAAATTATAAAAGTAACACAAACGTGTTTATCTTTTTTGAATTTAGTATATATTATATATCGGTTATACTTTGAAAAAGAACTAGTATCATTAGAAAGTATTGACATTCAAGTATTATCAATATATGATTTGAGATATTCGTTTCTCCGTTCTCCCAGGCTCCGGTACCTGCGAAGCCGGCCGTAGTTGGCACCTAAGGGGATAGTTTTCAATGCAGTCATCTAGCATCTTGGCACCACATCCGTCCCATCAGCCTTGATTTTGATGCCGGGTGGGTTTCGGTATTTGTCTGACTCGCGAGTCTCGACTCTCAAATAGCAATTATTGTGTTGCTCAAATGATATCCTGGTTTGATACCTGTACCTGTTTGAGATGAACGGTTGTGCGGCTGATTCCCCGTGGTTTTTGATGGAGATTGGTGGCAAATGCTTATGAATTTCAAAGTTTAATATTTCTGCATCAAATTGATGGCTGCAAAAGGCTCCCAGGCTTGCAGATATGGGGTTTAGCTCCGGCACTGGTTGCCGATTCTAAAAGAGTTCCAAGTTATTTATGCAAGAACCTTTGGGTTGTGCTCAACATCATCTGACTTGTTTCTCGTCGCTGCTTATCGAGTAGAGTTGAGTCGTGATTGATTATACTATCAGTTTGCAGACTTCTAGATTCAAGAGTTGTGAGAATATCCGATGGGAACTCACCCAATGGCTTTGGTGATATTACTATTTGGAAAACAGAAGCTACCAGGAACAGCCAATCATATCAACAGTGTCGTATTCTTGGCCGTTAGCATCGCCGCATGAACACTTGAACTCGACTAACCTTACTAGGACCGTCTAGATCATACCCCACCACATTGTATGTAAATTTTAGACATTTTGATTGATAAAATAACAAACCTTGGAAATCGATGATGGAAACTTGAGCCTTCATCAGATACCATGAACACCGCTACGAAGTGACATCAAAAGTTACAAGTTTTGACATGACACGAACAGAACCTTTCTCCCAATTTAAAGTGGCAGGAAATGCTCCCTGCGTATAATACTCCGAGATAGATTAATTCTCACCAAGGATTTCCGGAAGTCAGGGTATGCATATTCCGCTTGATTGGATAATTTGAATGAATTTAGGCGTCGACCCCGCGATTTTCTTCTGAGATAGGGATATAAGTCCGTCCATAGTATTATTTTATAGCACATTTTCGGGGATATACTTGTGAATCGCCGTTAACTTTGAGCCATTGGACCCAAACTTATTACCTCCCCGACTGTGGAGTTCCCACCCCGTACAACAGTCAAATGTATCTATCTAGCTGTGCTCGACGCTCGTATCTGGAGTACGGCCAAAGACAATCTAAAAGACTTTCGCACGTGGGGTATGTGACCATACTCCAAGGAAAACAGCTGAACTTGGAGGCTGCTTTTTGAAGATCATCGAAATTCAAACTTGTGGGTATTCCAGGATCTTAAGTTCCAACATAGTGTTGATTCCTTTTGTGGTCAAACGTACAGATAATCATAGTGCGCCGAGTATAAAGACTGAGCATGCCATTGCAGATAGTTTGGGGGTGTGTGAACATGATTGTTACTGGAGAGTTATGGTTGAAGTCCCTGCAGGACGACCTCCCACGAGATATCTCCTTCCTGCAAACTGAGTCAACAACCTAGTTATCACTTCATACACCCCAGGTTGAAAGGATCAATACGCATAGTAAGTACATGCTGCATCTTTGCTTCATGATCGGGGTAAAGGAACTTGTGCGACTGTAAAAGCAAGAAATCTATCGAAGCATTTCAACCAAGACAAATATCCGGACTGCATCCTTTCCAAAGAACTTTCTTGGGACATCAAACCTGTCAGGTAGATGAAGCTTCGTGGTCGGTGTATATCATATATGTATTCTTTCCAAGCAAATACTTGAACGGGCTTTGGGACAGAGTATATAGAATATATAATATAGATTTCAGATTGTAGATGAATATATGTATTTTAATGGACAGACCAAATATAAAAGCAGCATCTCATGCTCAAAGAAGGGGAAATGTTTTTGTGCACGGTCTAGATACTAAATACCTGGACAAAAATCATTTTCAAAGCGGCACGTATGTAATCCCAGTAGTGGTACTTTTGGCTTACTCTCTTACTAGGTAGTAGTTTCCGTACTAGGAGGTACATAGATTTCTACACCTTTATTATTATACCTAGGTAATTCCTACCTACCTGTTAAGTTTCGTGATTTCGGTGCGACTGCAACCCCTACCTTGCCAGTACCTTATCCGCATGCTTCAAGATCAATTCCTCAATTTTTGAAATGAGAGCCATAGCTCAACTCAGCTCTACATACCAAATTCACCAAATCTCACTCAGTCGCGAAGTTCGAACTGTTTCACAGCTGCAAACTTAGCTGCTCATCAAAGCACTCACACATCGACGTCATCCGAACCTACCGAATATCCGAGTTCTGAATTTGCGATTTATTGCGATTGAAACACGCATGAGTACATAATAAATTCGCGGACTGCTCAAAGACTTAGGGCTCACAAAGCTATTGGAAGTGGTGGTGTTTAGGCGGATTAGGGGTCTGGAACAATAAATGTATATGGTTCTGTGAAACAGTCATTACACAGCAAGTAATAGGATCTTAAAAGGCGCTCACAGAAATGATGCCCTCGGGTCAACATCAAAACTTTCAGGCGCAGAATGCCTCTGATTATCAGAATGCAAATCACTCTCATCAACTGGTAGCACAGGATACCCCGCCCCTTGATGTATTAGGAACGCCTAATCTTGAAGGATACGAGTTTCCCTATGTATTCGGGGAGAATACCGTAACTCCAGGTGAGCTGAAGATGGATAGTACTTCGGATCCATTTAATCTTGCGAATCCTACCGAACATCGAGATTCCATATCATCTATTCCTCCCATGCATCGAAATGGTTATGGCAGCATATCTGGACCAACGGCTCGGCATCCTAGCTTTAGTGGGGGGTCAGATGAAGCAAGTCCCACAAGCAATCGAATGGTAGGAAATTTTCACCAAGGCGATACCCCTATGGTGGATGATCTCAAAATGAATACAGGAGGTTCGGGGGATGGCAGCGAAGAGAAAGGAAAGGATAAACCTGAATTAGCACCTGCATGGACCGAACTCAAAACCAAAGCAGGTAAAGAGCGAAAGAGATTGCCACTGGCTTGTACAGCATGCCGAAGAAAAAAGATTCGTTGTTCAGGAGAGAAGCCCGCATGTGTAAATTGCACCAGGTCGAAAATTCCTTGTGTGTATAAGGTCACGACAAAAAAAGCGACGCCAAGGACGGATTACATGGCAATGCTTGACAAGAGGATAAAGCGAATGGAAACGCGCATCATGAATACTATGCCAAAGGAAGAACAAAAAGAACAAAGTGGCACGCTTACATTAGCAAGAGCTAATGTTAAGCCGCCAATTCCGGGAACGTTACCATCTAAAAATTCTGCTGGAAAAAAGCGACCCGCTGAAGAAGCATTCGGGCCCGATTTGAATGATTGGTCGAAGTCGGCAATGAAGCCTTCAAAGGAGAATGGGAGAACGATTTTGAAATCCAAGGTTGTATCAGCACAGGAGGACGCAGAAAGCAAACTCCTGAAAGATGGCAAAGAAAAGCTACCTTCGCGAGAGCTTCAAGAGCACCTGGCCGAGGTATTTTTCGAAAAGATTTATGGCCAGACGTATCACTTACTACACAAGCCAAGCTTCATGATGAAGTTAAAGTTAGTTTTGACACAAACAATCTGATTTTGAATACTAACAAAATTTGTAGGTCCGAAGCACTTCCTCCTGTCCTAGTGTTAGCCGTCTGTGCTTGCGCAGCTCGATTTTCCGATCATGTTGAATTGACTACAGCGCCGCCCTTTCTAAAAGGGGAAGAATGGGCCTCTGAAGCTCGTGATATTGTTTTGAAGCGATACGATTTCCCAAATATCACAATTTTGACGTGCTTGCTGATTCTGGGCTTTCATGAGTTTGGCACTTGTCACGGCGGTAGAAGTTGGGCATTGGCAGGCCAAGCAATTCGAATGGCATATGCTTTACAACTACATAAAGATCTCGACTACGACCCTCAAAAGCCGAAGCTTGATGAGAAAGGCAATGCGGTGAAACTCAGCTTTATTGATAGGGAAATCCGACGACGAACAATGTGGGCATGCTTTCTCATGGATAGATTTGAATCTTCTGGAACTGGTCGACCAACTTTTGTCAAAGAAGAAACTCTTGAGATTCAGTTGCCTGTGAAGGAGAACATGTTTCTGCTCGACATTCCAGGACCCACAGAAAG